TAAAACGCGTAAAAATCACGAATGATGCAGTTTCTGTGGTGCAAAAGCTCGAAGTGCACTTAAAGGCACATTCCGCGATAAAATAAGGCTATGACCTCTCAAATGTGTCGGACGATCCGGAAGGCGATTTTTGAGGCTGCGCTACTTTCAAAATGTGAAAAACGGCAAGAACTCCGCTAGAAGCTGACTAATTAGGCCCATGGACACCCCTTAGGCCCATGCCGACCCTCACCGGCTGCTAGCTACTAGCTAGTAGCCACTATGTTATCTTTCTCTATAACATTTCGGACTGCTTTTTCTGCTGCTTTTCTCCGCTAATCAGATACTTAGCACTTTTTTGTGCCTATTTGAGTTCCGTTTCCCGCAATTTGCGGTCGCGAACTGTGCCTTTAAAGGCAGTTGGCACGATAAATCGCTATACAGATGTAGGATTTATACGACTGGCTTAACAGAATTCCGTGACCTCGGACAGGCGCTCCGTGGCGCCTTTTCCAAGGAGGGTACCCCTACAACGACGCCTTCCTCGCCCGCCCGCCCACAAACGGACGACCGTTCCTGACGCTCGTATTCATTCATTTGCTGAGCAATTATGAAGCAAAGGGATTGGTATGAAGCGGCCGTGATGCTGCATGCATATATGGGTACACATATGCAGCCGTATCTTCGGTAGCGGTGATTGGCAAGATGCGTACGGGAAACTCGTCCGAAATCGATTTTCAAGTCACTGAGAACGGAGGCTTTTTCTTCGCCGGATTTTGACCGTTTCACTCCGTTCTTTCGCCATTTCCCCGGGTGGAAAACCATCGTGCCAACTGCCTTTAAATATTAGTGGTGAAGAATACTCCAAGAAAACTAAGGAGACAATCGTATAGGGATAAGAAATCTCTACAAAGCAGCATGAAACTCAGTGGCAAAACTTTTCATCTTTATCGCGATATTTCGAATGAGAAAAACGCCATTACTTATGAGCCGATCCAATATTATCAGTTCTTGACAGTTCTGATCTACTAAACTTTAGAGAGAGCTAACACCTGTACTGTGTTCCGGTACGGGGTACACCATCGTGATGTGTGGAGTAGTGGTGTGGGTACGGCCCCCCCCCTCCCCACCTTCCCTAGCACCTACTCACCAATTTTCTCACATCAATAATCTGCTTGATTGGCATGAAAATCTTGTATCCCAAAAAAGCCTCTAATGTGGAACTGGGTATTCCTTCACTGAACGGGGTCATCAAGAAAGTATTAGGTTGGCGGGAAAGTTCTGTCACATTTTTTCAAATTAGACTTTCTTTTTACAGAGAGGCGTACAAGATCAAAATACAGCAATGTTATTGAGAGATCCTTGCCAGTTTTTGGACAGTTCGTGGATGCCATCGCTTAACAATGCACGCCGGCGCGACGCAAAGTTGGACATCATCTCAACTTTGACTTGGGCTCAAGTCGTGGAGGTTTTCTCGGCTGTATAACGGGGAGGCGACTAGCAGTCAGAAAGAGCAATGTCTGGACTACACCGGTGCAAGGGGAGAGCCATCCAGCTCTATTGCATGAAGTACGGCTCGAACTTTTTTTGACGGGGTGTGCTGCACCAGCACGTTGAAGACGGACTGTGCCGATGGATTTTGCCCTCTGCTTGACGATTCGCTTCAGATCTCGTAGCTGCCTTGCGTACGGATTGACCGAGGAGGCAGCTTCTTCATCCAGTAGTTTCCCGACCCACCGCTATCTAGAGCTGAGTTTACAGGTACTCCCGAACCTCACTTCGTCATTCGAACCGTAGGCTCCCGCTCTGAAGAGCTAGCGTCGTGGAAGATTGTCTGATGACTGTAGACATTGTCCTTGTGCAGCTCCATTATTTCGGCGTCGACAGCTGCCATGCTGGCGCCAGGGTGGTAGAAGAAATAGTTTAAGGAAGCGCTTGAAGGGGTCGGTGCTGAAGGTAGCGGATAACATTCTTGTCCATAATGCAGAATAAGGATGAGCAGGAGCCGAGCCAGTGACACTAATAGAAAGATCAATCCTTAATGTATAAATGCTCACATTACCGGTTAGCCCTCTTCAGGTAATAGGCGAATACTTGGGTTCAAAAAAGTATGACAGAACTTTCCCGCCAACCTAATATTCGCCAGAGAGAGAAAAAAAAGAAGAAAAGTCCACCTGCCCCGCTTGTCAACCTGGGCCTGACCTTGGTTCCGGCACCAATTTTGCAGCTTTTGCGGACCATGGTTTTCGCTCGGCGGGGATCGAACTCGTGCGTCGCAGTGCAGACGTGAAGCTGCACTCTTATCCGGCTATCTCTGCCTCAAACAACATGTTACCCTACCCTTAAACCGAGCATATCCAGGTGCCACGTTATGCTATCAACGTGTCAGACTGGTATGGACAATGACATCCTACCGGAACAGGGTACAGCATCGTTGTGTGAAACACATAGGGAGGGGCGGGGGTCGTGAGTGTACGTTTCCGCGCAGGAGAGGGGGGTCGTGTTTGGTTGTTGTTGGGAGAGGGGGATCGTATGTGCCTTTAATGGGACCTGTAGGACTAATACGCCTAGCAGAACTGAATTCGGTGCCCCTGAGCAAGCGCTGCGTGGCGCCTCTCATAAGGAAGGTACCGCCCTATCAAGCTACAACATACCGACCCGGACGCCCACCGCACCCGCCTCCCACAAATGTCCGACCGATGCTGATGCTCGTATCGCTTCATTTGCGAAGTACAATATGAGCGGGAGTGATATGAAGCGGCTGCGGTGCTGCATGGATATATGAGTGCACATGTGCAGCCGTATACCGCAGCGTTTATTGACACAATGCCAACGGGGAACTCGTCCGAATTTGCTCTCTATGACAAGGCACTTTTGCAGGTTTTTATGCGTTACGCTTCTCTTTTTCGCCGCTTACCCGCTACTTAGCGATACAGCAGGATGGTTTCCTACTCGGCCTTGAATGCAATTAGGGCGCTATATAGTGGGGAAATGGCGAAAGAACGGAGTGAAACGGTCAAAATCCTGCGAAGAAAAAGCCTCCGTTCTCAGTGACTTGAAAATCGATTTCGGACGAGTTTCCCGTAGGCATCTTGCCAATCACCGCTACCGAAGATACGGCTGCATATGTGTACCCATATATGCATGCAGCATCACGGCCGCTTCATACCAATCCCTTCGCTTCACATTTTACTTAGGCAGGATTTCTACCGTTTCCACTCCGTTCTTTCGCCATTTTCCCACTATATAGCGCCCTACTAGCATTTAGGCCGAGTGGGAAACCATCGTGCCAACTGCCTTCAAGTCATTTTCATGATTCACCACGAAGCGGCTTATTTCAGTTGCTGACTCTATTATGCGGCTACTGGCCGATTGTGTACAGGAAGACACGAAAATAGTGACAGCTTTCCACTTCGTTGGCGTTTTCAAAGGACGGCATTTCGAATCGTACATTGAGAACCTCGGACACGATGGTAGGTTTGTCTCAGAGTATGCTGAACTCCACCATCACTAATATACAGGTGTTGTGACCAATAGTGGTAGATCTCATGCTTATGCCACTGGCTCAACTCAGGTCTTTGAGATATAATAGCTACACACTTCATGGCTTCAGAAAAATTGGCAGTTTCTGCCAAAAAATGGTTCGTTGTTTGCATTCGAGAGCTTGTGACTCTTAGCTAATGAAACTGAAGCCCGACAAAGTCGAATGGTAATGGAAGGAGCAGAAACCCTAGATACCGTTGTCACTTACCATTAGTTCGCAGCTGCGGCTCCTCTCACCGTGTGATACAAAGTATGGAAGCCCGCTATTGCTGATTCTTTAGAGGAAGCATTTTTGTAAATGTGATGCAGTACTGGGTAATGACCCGAACGATGTGGTACGCTGCAAAATAATCCCATTTCATTTTTAGTGGTCAGATAGCCCCAAGCGGTTGTGCAAGACAGTAATCGGTTCAGGTTTGGCGCTGACGTATGCCTGTAGGATGTATCACGTGCTCAGCTTCCATTACATATCCAAAAACGTCTGTATGCAAGCTTGAGCTAGGAAAAGAGTTTTTGGGTTAATTTCGCCGCATACAGGGGTTGATAAATCAAATTCATTGGCCTACCTTCCAGCGGACAGGAAGAATTTCTGAGATTAGTGTGAGGAGTTGACGAGTCTCGTGCTGACATGACGAATTCTGCATTTTCACTTCGTGAACCCTTCTAAGTAGAGGCAGAGAAAAACAAAATATTAGAGAGAGGAAACACAGACGGTTCGCTTGCTTCTTACCCCAGACGAACCATAGTTGTCTCACCAGCTAGGGGCTCACAGGTTTTTGTGAGTTTGAAAAATGAGGGTGAATCTCAACAATAGCAGACGAGCAGGTGGAGCAGTTTGAAACTGCAGTATTTGGTTACCTCTGCGACCAGGGTGGCGTTTCCTTCCTATCTTCTGCACAGGTTAATCTGTTCTATAGGTTCCTGTCAGAAAATAAAGAATAGGTACATATGACTTCTAAACTTCTACATACTGAGCCAGTGCATTCAAATAGAAGCTTTTTTGAACGCTTCCTGCTTTTCACTATATGACCAATGACAATATTGAGGTACATAATCAATTTCTTCAGCTTGGATGATATCGATGCTTTCGAGTGGGCAGACCTCTCGCGTGCTGCAGGTGGCTGACCGTCTCTCTCGAATTCCCATGGTTCCACCTATTGAGAGTCTTAAACAAATAGGGATGATCTTAGCAGATGGCGAGGAGCAGAACCGAATAGTCTTAGGTTCGCAATTCTTCTTTTGGAAAGACCACTTTTTTGGCTCTTGTGTTACTTGTAAGTATTTTCAACTTTCTCTAATTTCTTCGTAGCAAAACCTAACTGCGTTGATCCGATTGAACGAGGTGGGTAGAATTGGTTTCCTTCTGGTAATGAAAACACGCCGTCACTTCAATGACAGTTTCAAACTACCTGAACTACCCTTTTCATTGTCAAACACTTATTTCAAAACGCATTAGGTTTCCCAACCACTCTGAAGTCCTGTGGATGAACTTGCGCAACCTCGCGACCGATTTTTGGCCTGTTGTCTCTCATTTTGATAAAAACATAGATAGGTGAAATCTGATCAAACGTTTCAATTGAAAAAATATTAAGTTATGGAACTAATGAAACTAGTGGTTCAGAGAGATACCTATTGTCGGCACGAGGTCGGTTGCACTCAGATCTTATTTCGTCCTATTTGTCTTTGTTGGAGGTGGACGAAGAGGTCGCACGTCTTGGAGCTATTCGAGCGCTCTCGATTCTTGGTGTGAGTCAATTCTCTCCTTATTTTTTGCTTCATTCATAGAGGAACTGACACCTAACTGAAAGTTCATCAGTGGTCAAGCGACGTAGAGTTTTGCATTGTTCGAAAGCAGACCTACTCATATCCAAAGGAATCGAAGAGCCCGCATCGTTCAACCACTAAAGCCCTTCGTTCAAAAATGGTGATGTGCGATGCAAATGCTTATGATAAGACAGTAAATAATCCAGAGGTGATGAAAGTGCAAAACAACCGCTCACCTATTCTTCTTCCTATCACCTCACTCACACTTTCCGAGATGAAGGGAGTTGGTAGCGGTAAAACCCCGCCAGGGAGCATTTGGAAATGAAATTGCGCGTTGCGGTGGCTTCATTGCGAGCGGGTTGCGCTTCGTTCACATGTTTTCAAGGTGCAAAGGTAGTGCATTCTCCGCGCTTGCGAACAGGAATGCCATGTTCAAAAAAGAACATCAAATGAACGTGGAGCCTGCCTTTAAAGACAGCCCCCGCGCTCGAGTAGTACATGGTCGTCCTTCCTTGTGCAAGTAGTACAGCCCCCAAGCTAGAGACTATCCCACTCTCGCGACTCCACAGCGAGCGATTAGCGAGCTACAGCCGCTCTAGTTCTAACGCCCGCCCAGTTGGACCGCCCACTTGCTAGATGCCCTCTGACGGAGGGCCGCTCAGTTGTTCTTTGTTGGGGCGGCGGGCATTAATCGGAATGCATGCCCTTTTCGCTGACCGCGCTTGTGCCAATTCTGCTCTCCTTTATTACATTTTATTCATTAGGGGCACATACAGTCAACTCCAACCCATTTCGCAAGGTAAAACGCGTAAAAATCACGAGCGACCCAATTTTCGTGGTGCAAAAGCTCGACGCACTTCACTACACTAAAAGATGCACGCTACCGTAACCCTAAATTCGGACGCCGAGTTTTTGAAAGTTTCTTTTTCTTTTCAAGAGTTTTTCCTCTGTTTTTGTTGTTTTTTGTATTCTTTTCTTTGCACTGGATGATATCAACTACTGCGAGATGTGATAGAGAGATTTGTGAGCTAGGGGTTGCACAGAGACCGCAGGGAGGTGTGACTGTGAGGGAGCGATTTTGTTTATGGTGTTCTTGAGGACTCTTCTTGCTTTTTTTCTTCTTGGGGAATTACTTATCAGCTACTGTTTCATAATTGAAAAGCAACTATCCATGACACTTTTATCGCGGGAGCTGTCTTTAAGGTAACTACGTTTTACAATAACAAAAAAAAGAACACTTCAAACGAGCCAAAAATGCCATATTAAGTGAACTGTTCTGCTTTGAAGAAGAAAAAGTTGTGAATACATATGTACAGTTCTTTTGATTTTTTTAAAATCTCCTATTTTCAAACCAAATTCACCCTTTTTCAAACCAAATTCACCCTTTTTCAAACCAAATTCACCCCTTTTCAAACCAAATTCACCCTCACTTTTCAAATCAAATTAACCACACTTATTAGGGCGGGCAACTCATCAACCAGATCACGCCAGACACCACTGCGAGCCCCGCCCCGACGGCCACGCCTACTTGTCAGCGCGGACATAGATTTTCAAATCTTGTTTCATAACTTCTGCTTATGTGACTTTTCTTATCTTTTGCTGTTTCCCACAAACACTTTGACTGGAAACGACCTGGCATTGACACTGCGATTTGCACCATTTTTGAAAAGTGGGCGGGGCCTCTTCAGAGTGGGCGGGGCTTCGTGGAGCAGTCCAAAAATGCAAAAATTTTGAAAAAATATCAAAATTCCGCAAAAAGCAAGTGGGTGGCCAAGGGGGCGGAGCCTAGATTGCCAAACCCTTTAGAGAAGGCGGAGTCGGCCATGTGTCAATGTCCAGGTCGTTTTCAGTCAGAGTGTTTGTGGGAAACAGCAAAAGATAAGAAAAGTTACGTAAGCAGAAGGTATGAAGCCGCAGTGGTGTCTGGCGTGATCTGGTTGATGAGTTGCCTGCCCTAATAAGTGTGGTTAATTTGATTGAAAAGTGGTGAATTTGGTTTGAAAAGGGGTGAATTTGGTTTGAAAAGGGTGAATTTGAAGTGAAAATATTATATATCATTTTCACTTCGAATTTACCTCATTTCAAACTGAATACGCCACTTTTCAGATCGACTCACCACTTTTCGGACCAGATTCACTACTTTCCAAACCCCATCCCCACTTTTTAAATCCCACACTTCTTAGTTCGGGCGATAAATCAACCAAATCACGCTAGACACCACCACCAGCCGGTTCCCTAGGGCCACGCCCAGTGGTCAGCGCTGCCACGAATTTTCGAATTTTATTTTATGACTTCCGCTTCTATGACTCTTTGTCTTCTGCTGTTTCGCTCATGCACTTCGACTGGAACTGGACATCCTGGATATCGACACATGGCCGACTTGTCCATTTTCTATTAGGTTGGCTAATAAGTAATGGCGGTTTTTTTCAATTGAAAAATTTGTTCGAAAAGTGAAACGTTTTGCAAGCAAGTTATATATCATCTGATAGGAAACTTCTCGTAGTATAAGAATATCAAAAAAGCTTTGGTTGAGGATATAGTTTTTGTGAATTTTTTAGTCGTTGAAGTTGGAAGTGAAGTCGGCGAAAATTAGCATCTTCGACAACTGCCTCTACAGTGCGTAACAAAAGTATGTGGACACCTCAAATTTTTGTCCTGCAAAATTGCCTTTGAATTTTGCGATATGAGACCTTTATTGTTGAATTCCTCAGCGAAAACATAGGAATACACTACTTCTAAACACTTTGTGGACTACTGAACAATTATTTATTGTTTTGAAAAAGTTTCTTAATAACAAAAGTATGTGGACACTTAACAAAAAACAAATGTATCGTGGAAAATAGAAGTTGGTTCTTCCTCCAGTGTTCACTATTACTTCGAACATTCTGTCTGGCATGCTGTGGACAAGATTTGTCATGGTGTCTTCGTCGATTTCCTCCCATGCAGCAACTATTGCCTCCTTCAAGTCTCGCACGCTGTTGTACTGCCCACTGTTCATGTAGATTCGTCGAACCATGATTCCCCACAGGATTTCGGTTGGGTTGCAGTCAGGAGAACACGCCGGCCAATCAATCACTTTGATACCATTGCGTTGGAGCCATTTTCTAGTAGAATTTGAAACATGCACGGCGGCGTTGTCCTGCTGCATCACATGTGTCCTGCGTCGTGGCCCGCTCAGAAAAGGCAAGAGGTTAGACTCAAGCACTCCTTGGTATTCCTGACTGTTCATACAGCACGATGGGAAGGCAAGCTCCAACTTTCCTCTGCTTCCAAAACCACCCCGTACCATCAAAGAGGCGCCTCCGAAATTTCGTCTCGAGAACACCAACGGATCGCTACAAAGGCCTTTCCAGTGATGCTGATATCCATCTGGACCGTCGAGATTAACTTTTCAGAGAAGATAACCTAAGAAAGAAATGCGCATAAGACGTTGGCTTTCTGATTTTACAAATATCTCAAGAAACTGCACCTTGTCCCACGACGTCGCCATTTTTGCACGCGCAAAGTTCAGTCTTGCCAGCTGGTGCCTGGCAGTCAGACAGGGAGCTTTCTTCATGGTCTCTCGAGTGATGTGCTCACTTGATCGAATAGAGCGCCATATTGTCATTTTTGAGACCGGTAGATTCATCGCGGCATGGATCTGTGCCACAGAAAGCGGGGAGTTTGAGGCTATTCTTCTGATGTCTTTTGCGGACAAAGATCGTGGGTGCCTCGAAACAGGTACTGAGTGGTAGCCATCAGGATTCTGGAGGTATATACCAACGCACGTCGCCGAAAGTCCAAGCTATCTTGCAATTTCTCTATTCGAGTGTCCTGCAGCACTGAAAGCTCGAATCCGAGCTTGTTCGTCTTCGTAGGGAGGACTACCACGACGAGGTATGAGTACAGGTTAATGGGGACTAGAGACCATAAAAATGGATTGCAGATCTGGAGCCAAACTTTGGACTTCCTCAGGTGTCCACATACTTTTGTTATTAAGAAACTTTTTCAAAACAATAAATAATTGTACAGTAGTTCACAAAGTGCTCAGAAGTAGTGTATTCCTATGTTTTCGCTTATGAGGAATTCAAAAAGGTCTCATATCGCAAAATTCAAAGGCAATTTTGCAGGACAAAAATTTGAGGTGTCCACATACTTTTGTTACGCACTGTATTTACGTCTACTCGAAGTGCTAAAATCGCTTAAAGACACATGGTACGCTCATACACATTGAGGGTGTATGAGACTATCAGCCCCCCAGATGTCGATGTGTCGTGGTCCCCAAACATGCCCAGGAATGGAGATACAGGGCCGTGAAACACGCTAATTCTTCCATGCTCCGCCCACTGCCTTTTTACGGCGCAGATTCCCGCCGTTCATAACATCCGTCGTAAGCGCGCCTGTCGCGTGCGGCTCCTTGGCACTTTGCCAAGTCCTTTAATTGCGCTCTCAAATACAAGTAAAACGCAATTTCCTGATGCGGATAACATTGGAGGTGCTACAAAATAAGAACAGAAGATGATGACGAGGGTCAGAACTTAAAAGCAACTGTGCCACTTCTGCAACATCCCTCGGAGGCCGCGTATGTTCACGAAACATGAAAATAAAAAGGGCATACTTGTTAGTTTGATACAAACGCAATTTCCTGATGCGAATAAAATTCTAGGTGTTGCTCATGCTTCAAAATCCATGTACAAGGAGATGAAGATGACACAGGCTAGAAATGAAGCACAACGATGTAAATGTAAACAAAACAAAAATGAAAAAATCAAGGAAAGGCAAATTAGATAAACTGGCCTGTAAATTTCTACGATCCGGCGCCAAAGCCATAGAAATACTTAGAACAAACGAGTGGGACGCTTGGGCTGTTTTTATTTTCATGTTTTGTGGGAATGCGCGGCCCTTGATGGATACTGCAGATGCAGCCGAGTTGCTCTTGAGTTCTGGCCCCTTGTCATCATCTTCTGCTCTTATTTTGTAGCACCTCCAATGTTATCCGCATCAGGAAATTGCGTTTTCCTTGTATTTGAGAGCGCAATTAA